TCCGGCCCCAACCCAGGCCCGGGCCTCGGCCCCGGCCCGATCCCCGGCCCCGGCCCTGGCCCTGGCCCAGCCCCGGCCGCATCCCAAGCCTGCCCTGCCCCCGGCCTCCAACCCAGGCCCCGGCTCCGGCCCTGGCCCTGGCCCCGCCTTCCCCCTGAAAAGACTGACAGCCTCCTCCTCCTCCTTTTCCTCCTCTTTCTCCTCTTCCTCCTCCTCCTCATCATTTTCCTCACCTTTCTCCTCCTCCTCCTCCTCCGTCTTCTCCTCCTCCTCATCCTCCTCCTTCTCCTCCTCCTCCTTTTCCCCCCTCCTCCTCCTCCTCCTCCTCCTCTCCTCCTCCTCCTCCTCCTCTCCTCCTCCTCCTCCTCCTCCCCCCTCCCCTCCTCCTCCTCCTCCTCCTCCTCCTCCTCCTCCTCCTCCTCCTCCTCCTCCTCCTCCATCTCCTCCTCCACATCCTCCTCCTCCTCCTCCTCCTCCTCCTCCTCCTCTTCCCCCTCCTGTTTCGCCTCCCTCCACCGCCCGCCCCATGTCCCGAGCCTATGGCAGCGTCATCAGCTCGTCGTTGTCGTTGTCGTCGTGGTCATCGTCGTCGTCGTCGTCGTCATCATCCTTGGGGTCGGCGGCACTGGCCGCTAGGCCTTCACAATATGCGCCGCGCCCCAGCGGGAACTCAATCCTGTTGAAACAAAAGCACGGCGCCATGGCGAGAACGACATTCCGGCAATATGGGAGGCACCGGATCCAGCGGATATCGGCTGGCTGGATAGCGATAGCGAATAAGGATGTGAGAGTGGGCGACTGAAGATGGGAGATTGCGAATACGAATCTGAAGGGCGAGTGAGTCCGAGTACGGGTGGGTCCGAGTAAGATTGGCCAGGCATGAGTGAATATGAGAATGAGCGACTGTGTACACGCGAGTTGCAAAAATTACAGAGTCTGAACTAAGCGGCTGAAGATCAATGAATCTTACTATGGATGGCTTCGTATGTGCGATCCTGTACGACTGGTGGAACACGGGCGGCTAAAACAAGTGAGCCTGGCTGAGTACGAGTAGCGAAAGAGGAGGCAGAAGCAGGATAGGAAAGGACGAAAACGAGTGAGGCTGGGGCGTGATACGACAAAAAGGAACCCATACTCAGGATATGATTGGAAACAGGCTCATTTCAGGTATTAGATATGGTTTCACGCGAAACGCCTCCTGTAGGGACCGAGTCCCAAAAAAAACAGGACCTGTCCAGTGGCGCGGTCTGACAAGAATATCGAAACGAACCCAGCCGTACCGCCGATGAGTCCCCATCAACCCCAAAAAGGGCCACACACGCTCAAGCCAACATGGTTCCTCGATCTATGGAGCACGGGCCGCCTATGTCCAGGATACCCGGCGCGCGGATGAAAACGGCAGGATAGTCCTGCGCACCACGCTTGAAGGAGGGAGAGGGGCGGGGGGAGGGGGAGGGGCAGGTGAGGAGGGGGGGAAGCACTGCAGAGACAGCGGGGTGGTGTCAGCGACGTTGTCTGAGACTGCTGGGAAAGGTGATACGGGGGCTGGGGCATTCAAGGAGCAACGTAGGAAAACGAGCTCTATACACCGAGGCTTTTTCCGACCCTGCGCTGGAATTCGCATCAGGAACGCAGATCCTGGTGTATACAGGATCCTGGTGTATACATGTTTCGTTGTTTCCCTTGGAAAACGGGGGAGAAGTATACACCACACCACCCCGACGTCGTCCCCGACCCTCAAAAAAGCCCTGGGATTGAAACAAAACCCGCCACTGGTAATGTATATGTTCCAGCTTCCGAACAAGGGTTCAGGTTGGAGCGCGCAGCACGCAGTGAAACGACTGTCGAGCAGAGTCGAAAGCGTAGTGTCGATGGCGTATGTCGACGGCGTCGGCCCTGCAATCGCGCTCGCGCCCGTCAGCGCTGCAAACAAAAGCGTCAACGGCGTGCCCGTCACCAGCGTTAAGTCGGCCGTGTCCCCCTACAGGGGGATTTTCGACGAAAAAATTTTAAAAAAAGATTCAAATAATATTCCAAAATAGATAACAAAATACTAAAATAGTACCCAGACTATTTCTTGACTATTTTTGAACATCCCCCCTGTTGAGGGACAGGCCCGACTGATCACCAGCGCCGAGGTAAGGGGCGGCGGATCGAAGAAAAAACAAGAGCGTGTGTCGCGCCAGCAACGTACGAGAGGCTCGCGTCGTGACGACATGTCCGTTGGTTTCTGACACCGCGTGGGTAGCTCAACCTTGTACGATCGCGACTTTCTGATGAAGCAGCTCGTTCGGCATCGGCCGTTCCCAAGCCGCTGGTGACGTTCAACCATGAACCCCAGGGAGTGTGACTTCGCCAGGTCAACACGGCGAGAACTCGATCACTAACAGCTGGGTGGCAAATCAGCGTCGTAGCGTCAAGACCTTTGGGTCAGAGCGCGGGGCAAGGGATTATAGCGAGCTCAGGAAAGGGTTGTCGGAGCGTGCAAGGCCGACAGACCGGTGATAGCTTTTTTGCCTCGCCAGTGCGCGAGCCGGTCGATAGAAGAACTGGACCAGGTGCCTCCGGCCTGCGGTGACCACAAGAGAATACATTAGAGGAAGCTACTCGGATTACTGACATGATCTGGCGGCCCCATAGGGAGAGAACCCCGCCTGAGACTTCCTCACAAAAAAGGGCTCACAAACGAAGCTCCCGCTCGAGACTTCCTCCGGACTGTCGTAGAAATCGGGTTTCGGAACGAAATGTTGGAATAGTTTAGATGCCCGTTTTCCGTACTTTTGTTTGGTGCTCGAGCCTCTTGTGCGCGGTTTCCATATCGAACTGTTCGTTTACTTCGGCTGGTGAACTTGCCTCAGGCGAGAGCCTTGGAGGAAAAAAGAGATACTCATTTCCATACTCGTTTGTGTATTGAAGTTGATTAGAGGATCATCTTATTCCATTCACTCTCGCGAGTTACCCCGACGAGATCGACACGAGATTGGTAGTGCGGAGCTTGGTTTTAGTGAACCTGACGAGTGATGGCGTCATCGAGCACGGGCCAGAATGTAGACATCCAGAGGATTACTACATGGGACGGCAGGGCGGAGACACTAGACGAGTACCAAGCCGAGGTGGAGCTTCTCACGTTGGCGAAGAAGGAAGAGGACAGGAAGCTGCTCGGCCCACGTTTAGTGCAGGCGCTGCCAAGGAACACCGCGCACAGAAAGCTGGCCCTGCGATTACCGCGGACAGAGGACGAAGCAGACTCGATCGTTGGCGAGAAGGGCCAGGACAACCTGATCAGGGTCTTTCAGAAGAGTCTTGGGAAACAAGCATCCAGCGACGTAGTGGACAAGGTATTCTCGTATTACTATGACCGGAAGACGGCTGGACCACGGGTGCGGAAGCTTGGACAGACGATCGATCTATGTGCGGAGCAGGAGGAAGACGCCTACCAGGAGATGGAGAAGAATGTCCGGGCGATCTGTCCGGATCTGGAAACAGTGGATCTGATACTGGACGAGCTGAGGGGTATCATATTCCTGGTGAACGCGAACCTAGACCCTAGTGAGAGGGCCACAGTGGTGGCGGGCCTACACGATTGGAAGATACAGTAATTCATCGAGAAGCTGAAGTACGTGTGGGCAGACAAAGACCTGACGGCGAGGGACAACCGGGTATCACGTCGGAGAGCGCTACGATTCCAAGGAGGTCGAGAAGCCCGCAGAGAGAGGTCCAAGGTCAGGAGGATGACATCGATGAGGAGCCGAATTACTTCGAGGAGGAAGCAGACGATGTGGGAGAGGCAGAAGTCAACTACGAGGAAGAGGTCGACAAGGAAGACATCGAGGCGCTGGAGGCCTACGCCGAGGACGCGGAGGTGTACGCGCAGGACGCCCACAGGACGTTCACGAAGCAAAGAAGGTGCTGGCGGAGGCTGCGAAGAACCGGAGCGGCGATTTCCTGGTGATAGGGATTGGACAGATTCCGGAGAAGCAGTTCAAGGATCAGAAGACGGCGAACACGGCGAGGGCGGCGCTCAGGTCTCCCAGACCCCCTGGATCACAAGGAGGATAACGACGTGCTGGACAACCACCACCTCCACAGCCTCAAGGCCAGAGGCGACCCCCCAAAGGCAAAGGCAAGGGCATCAAGTGCTTAGTCTGCCAGGGACCCCGTCGAGCAGTGGACTGTCCAAGACGGAGTAACACAGGCAGCGAGGGCAACAATATGCAGATGGCATGCCAGGGCTTCGTGGATGCCGAGGACGCGGACGAGTCCAACTACAGCAACGAAGGGAACATGCCAGAGGAAGGGCAGGCCGGATGGGTACACGAGGAGATGGTGGGATATGCGATCATCGACACAAGAGCCTCGAAGAGTATGCTCGGGATCGACCTGGCTACCGCCATCCAGGACACCATCATCCAGGAGACAGGGGAGGACCATATAACCATGGACTATACGAAGAAGACTAAGTTCACGTATGCTGGATGCGAGAAGGGCCAGTCCATCGGGAAATTCGGGTTCGAGCATCCGGTGGCCCCGGTGGAAGATGACAACAAGCTGTGGTTTGACCTCGTGGAAACGAAGTCCCCGATGCTGCTGGGCCTGGACTACTGGGAGAAGGCTGGAACCGACCTGATCAGAGAGAGGTCGGCACTCCTCGTCGCAGACGGGCACGAGGAGCCGGTGGCGAAGCTCTCGAGCTCGCATTATGCGCTCCCCGTACTTCGACGGGGCCCAGCCGTGGGCAATGACAACACCTACGGAATGGGAGAAAAAAGAGTTGTCAGTCAGCCCCAGAAGAACCCAAAAGATCCAGGAGCTCATCTCAGACATCCAAAAGTCAGGAGATCACGAAGGCCACGCTCAGTACTTCAAAAACCAGAGCAATTCTCCAGGAGCTTTCAGACGACAAGAAATCAAAACGTGCACGACGAGTTCGACACCGAGTACAATACGAACGGATACGAGCATGTCATGAACACCATCATCCGCATGTACAAGATAGGGCATGCTATGTACATCAGAATCCCCATGATCTAGATAATTAGAGTATGTCATGTTCAACGTCAGCGGTGTGAAACGGGAGGGGGACACGGTCTGGGGACTGATAAATCACTCTCTGTGGGTAAGGAATTCTTGTGCATATGTGCTGTGGGAGTTGAAGAGCTCGACCGCCAACATCCGACAGTCTAACCCCCGCCTCCAAAGCCCTTTGTGTCAAGAACTCGCTCCGACCGGAGCTTCCACCATGAGCAGTCCGCAGGGGCCATGGCAGCCAGCGGACGCGCACAAGATCTCGGACGAGGAGCTCGAGGAATGGGACCTAGTGAGCGGCGGTCAGCCGCCCGGCGAGGAGGCCTCACGCTCCTCGGGGCCGCCATCGCGGCAAACTGCGGCGTCTGCAGCTGTGGATCTGGGCCCGGGGCCGTTTTTCGAGGACCCGAGGAATCCAGGCCATGGAGCCGTACACCGTGACCGACCCGGACACCATCGAGGAGCAGAGGGAGGCAGCAGCGCGTCAAGCAGCTCGCGACGGCACCTTAGCTGAGGCAGCGCGTCGAGTCCAAGTGGGAACCATAACAGCACCGTGGTATGGCCTGCTCGCCGAGGTGAGGACGTCAAGGACACTGGGCAGAGCCCCCAGCTGGATGTGGAGGTCAGGGAGATGCCCCCAGTGGCGCGTACCAAGCAGAGGACTACCATGCAGAACAACACGAAGGAGGATCTACCGACTACTGCGGAGCAACCAACCTCGAAAGGACCGACCCAAGACATCAAGAACACCACCGCCTTCGACAAGAAACTCCCCAACCACGAGACGGTGAACCTCGAGTACCCGGACAAGCGGAACATCATCAACGCGAAGGTCTCGACCAGCAAGCCCGGGAAGGACCCAGAGAAGCATCAGGCAGGCGTTACGGAGCTCAATCGATGGCAGAGACTGGTGCTGAGGATCCAGGCCAGGCGTCGATGGCATGCATTAGCAACTCATGAAGTGCAACAAGAACGGGTGCCCGAAGAAGTTCAGCCCGCATAAGCTACGAGTGGTAGGACAACTTCCAATCCTGAGAACGGTATCGAGCACTCCAGGCTGCAGAGAAGATTGACAAGACCGGGACCAAGCAACTAACCATGCGGACGAGAAGGAATCGGACGGATCTACTGGAAGTTCGTGTACCACCAGACAGTACACTGGGAAGTTAGGTGGAGGCCATGGGAGGCATCAGCCGCATGGGTCTCTTCAACCTGTTCGACTTCAACAGAAGGCCAGCGGTGGAAAAAGCCAAGGAGCGCATCAGACAAGAACGACCTTGATGGGCACACGCGTCTCCACCATGTACACCGTTCTCTGCGCTGCAGAACGGAAGACCAAACACAGTAGAGTCCCAGGAGAAGCTGATGCAGAAGAGGAAGTGGG